TCCTGTTCTAATGAACTTTCTCTCCCACAGACCAATGCATCGACAACTGAAGGCAGTGAGTATGGCTGGGTCAGGCAGAGGGCTGATGGGAGGGCACCGTTTGGGCTGTGTGTGGGGGTCTCGGACTTGCCTTTGCTTCTCTGGTAAATTATGGTGCCTTTACCCTGCTGTCCTATGTCAGGTGTATCCTGTCTCTCCTTCCCTGTCTTTTCTGTTGCTTCTGCCCAGGGAGCCACCCGTCTACTCCACAATACCCATGAGAGCCTGGGATTTTTCTGCGCTGCCTACCCACCTTCCCCAAAGCTGCCCTGATAAAGGAGTCCCCTTGTCTGCTAAATAAATACATTTTCTCAGCTTCCTGAGTCTGTGATGCCTGACCCCATAGCCATGAGAGAAAGGGGAAAAGGTGGGTTCACACCAACATCACTCTAGTCTGAAGAAAAAGGATCCAGAACTCTAGCCCTCCCCTCTGCCTCCACCATCATGGCCACCAACTGCCCCGAGTACCTCCTGTGCAGAATAATACTGCACTCACTGCTGCGTCAGCTGGGCACTTCTGGGTTCACCTCCAGAACAGCCGGAGTTTCTACACATTCTTGCCTCTGGTGGGGGGGGCTGCTGTGATGGAAGAGCTCATGGGGCCACATCTCATGCCCACACTCAGCCTCTTGCCATAGGTCCCAAAGCAGCAGTCCCATTAGGACTGGGAAGTTGGAGGAGTCTAGAGGGAATGTGAGGTGCAGCCACCCTAACTCAATAGGACCCTTGATTGCTGGAAGTGCAGGAGGGTACAGAGCGGTGGACCAAGGCTGAGCCTGTTACATCTGAGAAGCCCCTGTCCCTCGACTGGCCACAGCTATACCTCTCCAGGTCTACATCAGCTGTAGGAATTTCTTTCCAGTTCTCTTCCCCTTGAAAGGTCAATGGCCAGAGTGCACAGGATTCCAAAGGAGCCCAGCCTTCCCACCCTACAACATGTATTACTCCAGTCTGGGTGGGGACCAGTCTCAGCCTCGGCCCTACAGGCTGCAGGACAGAGCTGAGACCCAGCTCATCAGGTGATGTTGAAGTCAAAAAGAGAACAGATTGGCACAGGCTGGGCTTCCAGTGAGGGATGGAGGCTGTGCCCAAGTACAGAATGGCTCCAGGCCGAGGATATGTCGGGGTTGCTAGTTAAAGTCCCATTAGCTGGCCAAGAGTGTGGAAGTGTGCTGTGCTTGACCTCTGGGCTCTGCTTGGGGCAGAGGATCCAGCTTCTTCTTTTTTAATGTTTATTTTTATTACTTTTAAACTATGTGTGTATGTGTGTCTATATGTGGGTATGTGTCCACAGAGTCCAGAAGGTGTCTGATCCCCTGGAGCTGGAGTTACAGGCAATGAGACACCTGATACATGATTTTTTTAAAAAAATAGCATGCCTGTGTTCTCATCTGGTTCTGAAGGCCCTACTTTGTAGTCAGTTCCACAGTGTCCACAGGGCTGTGCTCCCTCTGAGGCTTTGGGGGGGATCCACTTCTCTGCCTTTTCCAACTTCTAAAGCTGTTTTCCTTGAAGTCCTTGGCTTGAAGCCTCTCTGCAGAGGCAGCAAAAGGGTCAACAAATCCCTTCTTCTGCTGATATCCTTACCCACAGGCCAGGAGAGTCCACTGCTTTGAATGTGGATGAGACCTTCCTCTGCAATTCAGCAGTCCCCACTGCCACTTAACCTGGTGCAAGAAGGTGGGGATGCCCAAGTACAAGCTCTTGATGGGCCCTACAGCAGACTGTGGGTTCCACCTCAACTCTTCTCTCCGACCCCCGGGAATCATTGGGGGGTGATTTGGGGACAGGACAGAATTCTATCCATTGTCACTACCTGGACATGATCCCTATGCCAAGGACAGCCTGCATTCTAGAATACCCAGTGTAAGACCAGGACCAGGCTGCCACCACTATGGGGTCTCCTGGCCATTACAGCTACAGGAGTCCCAGGCAGTGAGCCTCTCTCCTAAGACACCTCTCTCTTGTCTCTCAGCTGGACCCAGGGTCACACCTCTGGGTTCAGTGCAGAAGTGACCCTTGCTGGCTGGGTGACTTCATACAGACCTCTTTCCTGCCCAGTACATGGAATGGGGTTTTGATGGTAGCTGAGCAGTCTTTTCATGAAACCCCTTATGATGGACTGTCACATGCAGAGCTCACCTGGCACACAGACCTCCACTGATCCTACAAGCCTTTTCTTTACTGGGAACCTGACATACAGTCTTGGGGTGCTTGAAAAGAGTCTCACATTGTAATGCCAGGCATTGTGGCGCACACCTTTAATCCCAGCACTCGGGAGGCAGAGGCAGGCAGATCTTTGTGAGGTCGAGGCCAGCCTGGTCTACATAGTGAGTTCCAGGCCAGCTGGGGCTACAGGGAGACCCTGTCTCAAAAACAAAACAAAAAAAAAAGAGGCTCACTTTCCTCCCCTGTTCATAGGGCTCCAGGTCAATGGGCTGGCTCACTCCATGGTCTACTGTCCATTGCTGATTTCCATGTGCAAGTGTAACCTTTGAGAGTCCTAAGAAAAGTGATGAAGGCGCTGGAGAGATGGCTCAGCGGTTAAGAGCACTGACTGCTTTGCAGAGGACCCAGGTTCAGTTCCCAGCACCCACATGGTGGCTAACAAGCAGCGGTAACTTCAGTTTCAGGGGATCTGATGCCCTCTTCTAACCTCCCCAGGCATTGCACAACAGGAGAGCACTTACATACAAGCAGGGAGTACACACATACACATAAGTAAAAAAAGAGAGGGCCGGGCGTGGTGGCGCATGCCTTTAATCCCAGCACTTGGGAGGCAGAGGCAGGCAGATCTCTGTGAGTTCAAGGCCAATCTGGTCTACATAGTGAGTTCCAGGACAGCTGGGGCTACAAGGGAGACCCTGTTTCAAAAAGACCAAAAAAAAAAAAAAAAAAAAACCAAAAGAATTTAAAAATTTTTGAGGAAAAAAAACT